AACCGGCTATACCAACAAGCTAATATTCAAACCACAACCACCTCCTCTTGATTTACAGGCATTTGTGCCTGAATTCATGTTATTCCATCAGTCTAGACTGCATCATCCTCTATGTGTCAGAAACTTTTGGAGCTTTCCCTGATCCCTCAGAAAGAACCAGGTGTGTTTTCACAGTCCATAGCATTCATCTACGCTTAGAAAGAATTCCGGTTATTCTTTACAATCCAGTTAACGGCTCACGTCTATGTCTCTCACCAGTCAGCAACTCGAATGGAGTGGTTCATAAAGCAGAGGCTTTAGGTGGAGATTAAGGATTTGTGCAGGAATGGGAGAGAAACAACAAACTGTCAGGACTAAGGCACCAAAAGGAAATACGATAGAATTAGTTCAGGTCGTGGTCCAGTGGGGCAAGCCACACTATCATCATCATCTGTGATGGTAGGTCACTTTCTTTAATTTCAGGTATCTTGTCTGAATTGCAATAGGACCCTTGGCAAGTGTGGAAAACTAGTGAATACACACTTTTAAAAAGCTATGGGAAATAGCTGGGCTTCTTTCAAGTGAGTAGATGTTCAAAAAATGGTTTTAGCCTCAGAATGGAACCCAAAGTCAAAAGTAAGAAACCAAGAGAGAAAACACTGCAGAGGTTTGGAAACAGGCTTCCCACAGTTGACAGGACACCTGGATAGCAACAAGAGTAATCCCAAATTCTAATTTCTCTTTACAGGAGCCCTGTTCTGTTAGATAATTAAGTAGTTACCAATCTGGATGGATGGATGGATGGATAGATAAGTTTAATACATACTTGTATACATACAAAACTGGCAGAAATATGCGAAATTGTTAACAGCAATTATCTGTGTTGCAGGAATATAAAATAACTTTGAACCATTATTTTTTCCATCTTTCCCGATTTTTTTTGATGGAAGTATGTCCTGTTTTTACAATCAGGAAAAGGTGATTAAAATACATGTGTGTGTGTGTGTGTGTGTGTGTGTGTACTTTTTTTTTTTCTTAACTACACCAGTAATTCTCAATTGGGTGCAATTTTGTCCCCCAGTCAGCATTTGGCAATGTCTGGAGACATATTCGGTTCTCACAATTGTGGAGTGTGCTACTGACATCTAGTAGAGGTCAGGAAATTCTTCTGAACATCCTACAGGACAGCTTATAAAATTCATATCTATAATCTCTGTCTCAGAATTACCCAAGTGAAAATGACCTTCTGGTCTGACAGATATCGGAAAATAGTGTGTTTCTTGTTTACCTTTATGTTTTATATATTGACTAGTTTAGGTACTCATGTGTAACAAGTCAAAATAAATACATATTGGGTTGAATTGAATGAAAAATGTATACTTCTGGACACAATGTAGATATAAAGATGCATAATAAATCTTAGAATAAGTAATGAAAAGATACATTTTTATGACCCATCTAGAATCAAGAATTGATTTAATTCAATAAGAGATTAGTGGGCATCTTCTGGGCATCTATAACTCTGCCAGATTGTTCTGCGAAGCATAAAATGTATTCCCTGACCTTGAAGAATTTGCAGTCTAACCAAAGAAATAGAACATATCATAGGAAAACCATTTTGTTCCAGAGCAGAACAGCACATGGTTTTGTGCCAAAATGAGTAACTAATTAGTGCAGTAAGACTTTAAGGAACAGAAAAAAAATCAATATGTCTGGAATTGTCGGAGATGAATTCCTGGCAAAGAAGAGAACTGAGCTGACACTTAACAGATTGATGGACAAAACGTCCATATGACCAGCGATAAGGAGAAGGTATTGCAAGACAGAGAAAAAAGCATGAATAAAACTAAGAACTTAAGAACGATCATGGGTAGGTTCATGGTGAGAAGAAAGACTACCCTAGCTGAAGCAGGTCATAGATTAGACCAGCAAGGAAATGGCCAGATTATGGTGAGAATCAAATGATTCCTATCTGTAGGAATAGTCTGTAAAATATCCCAACCTATGAATGGGATAAAATGTCCTCTCCAAACAAAGTTTGGAAATTATGTTTTCAGTTTTCACTTTATCACATTTAAAGTGGTTAGTTAACCTAATATAGTTTAGCATCATCTTCCCACACGTACAGACCTTTGTACTATATAAAGCAACAATCTGGCCTACATAGTGTACCTAATATTCACAAAAGTGACCATTAGTAAAAGGAAAGCCAAATTTAGCTGTAGCCCCATGTAGCCTTCTCCCCCTTATAACTACAAAGATAGCAAGAGTCCTCATTTCAGAAGAGAAGTGCTCTAATTAAAAGAATTCTTTTAATTACTTCAGCTAATATTCTAATATTATGTTTTTGTCAAGGGAATGAAAGAGCCAGTATTCTGTTTTGTCAAGGAGTCTTGCAGAAGATAGAAATGAAGAATTAATGATGTTAAGAAGTATTAGACTTGGGACTCCTGGGTGGCTCAGTCGGTTAAGCATCTGACTTCAGCTCAGGTCGTGATCTTATGGTTCATGGGTTCGAGCCCCATGCCAGGCTCTGTGCTGACAGCTCAGGGCCTAGAGCCCAGAGCCTGGAGCCTGCTTCAGATTCTGTGTCTCCCTCTCTCTCTGCCCCTCCCCTACTCACACTCTGTCTGTCTCTCTCACTCTCTCTCAAAAATAAACATTTTTAAAAAATTAAAGAATTATTAGACCTAATGCAATGCACATACATGTTGAGCTAGTAATTAAATGTAATAAGTAATAGATCATTGCCTCCAAAAAAACAACAACAAAAAAAACTTACCTTATACATAAATGCAATTTGCCTAATCTTTTCTATTTGCTAGGATAAATTTATCTTTTCTGACCGGAGACCCAGAAGAGAGAACTTTGGAGAATCAATAGATTTATATTTAGGATAAGAACCCCAATGCAGTAACAATTAATAATTAATTTTTAAAACTCCCAAAAGAGATGAACCAATGTTTTTTTAATCAAATATTAGCATTATATATATTTAAACCTATAAATACTAGAGTCAAGTTAACTATAAAGCAAGAATTCTTAGCTCCTCATAAAAGAGGTTTAAGTAAATGTTAACTCACCTACAAAGCTTTGTTGGTTAGGAAAAAGTTCAACTGTATATGATAACCTTACTTACAGTGGCTTAGATAAGCAGAGATTGGGTTCTCTTTAAAGATAATTAGAGGGGCGCCTGGGTGGCTCAGCCAGTTGAGCATCTGACTTCAGCTCAGGTCATGATCTCACAGTTTTTGTGTTCGAGCCCCACGTCGGGCTCTGTGCTGATGGCTCAGAGCCTGGAGCCTGCTTTGGATTCTCTCTCTCTCTCTCTCTCTCTCTCTCTCTCTCTCTCTGCCCCTCCCCCACTAGTGCTCTCTCAAAAATAAATAAATGTAAAAAAATAAAAAATAAAAATAAAGATAATTAGAAAGGATGGTAGGCCATGGCTCTTATTGGTGGCTCCATGATACCATTTACCGCAAAGGCTCTGGTTTTCTAATAAGCATCCTTAGGTGACTACCAGTTATATTACCCAGAAATACATCATATGAACCACCTCGAGTTGAAAGGTAGGCTGAGAAATGGTTTTTAATTGTGCCCATTGTAGTCCCAAATAAAAGTAACAAAGGGGAAAATTATGTACGCCAATTAGCAACTCTATCAACAACACAAGATCAGTGATTATAGTAAGACCTCAGCCATTATGTTTGTTAAAGCATTGCTAGGTGAGTTGCTCCAATATCTAGGTGTCCCACAAAGTCCATTTTCCAAGTTTTCTTCAACTAGGTCATTTTGTGCCTTTAAGCTACATCCTCCTCTAATGGATTTCTTGGAGAAGAGCCCAAGCACAGCTTGTATCCATTCATAGAAAAGGTTTGTGTGTAGTATTGCTTTGCCTGCAAGGGCAAGAGTGATGCATGAAGATTTTCTCTCAGTCAGAAAGTTACCAATTGATACATTGTGGATGGTAATTGACAGAGCTAATTCAGGGAAGTGAAAAAGAGGGAAATTGAAGGTATAGCATAGTCCCTTTGCTTTCCCAGCTGTTTTCTGCTTTGGCTGGTAAGGAAGCAAGTGGTGGTATCTTCAGAGCTCTTAAATGCCTGGGGTGGGTGAAGAAGCAGGCAAGGTGGGGAGCGGAGAGGGTGGTGGCAGTTCAATATCTAACAGTATCTGGTACATAGCAGGTGCTCAAGTAATATTTGTGGAATAAAGCTTTTGCTTATTTACGCCTATTAAAGAATGCACAGAAGCTGATTAAAAAGAAGCATTCCACATCCACTTTAAGGAAGTAAATGTTAGCGTTCATACTGTGTGAATAAAAGCTCTGTGAGGAACCCAAAGGAAATAGTTGCTATGATCTCTTCTCTGAAGGTCTTCCCCTGTCTTTTATGTGACGTGGCGGATTTTTTTCAATTCACACCCAATGTTAATTAATCAAATCTATAAGAATTGGTTTCTAAGCCATTTGGCCACCAAGCAGATTATTAAACATTGCAAAATCAATTTTAAGTGATTTTTAAGTGTTTAAAATCATCTTATAATTTCCTAAATCGGCCCATAAGTCAGCTTGAAATGGAGGTTAGGGACTGTCAGTCAATACATCAATTGATCGAGCAGTCAGTTGAAGTGGGGCATTTGAAGATGTATGAATAACAGTCCCTGCCATTTACAACTTACGATCCACTTAGGGGAGACAGCATGTGTCTGGGGTGGGGGCGTGGGGGTGGGAATCACATAATAATGTCAATTATACTTACGACTTGTAAAATTAATAAGACAGACAGTACATGTTGAATTTTATCCAGAACACCGATTCACTTGGACTTCGCTAAAATAGACACCCAGACTAACTATATCCTGTTGCGTAACTCAGATTTTGAGACCCTGATACGAGGATCATAGCATTTTGAAGATTAGAGTATAAAGTGCTGCTTAGCATAGATAGTCTATAAAGAGCTCACTTGAGCCATAGGAGGAAATAAAAACAATGATTCTTTCTCTTTTCTAAAAAAAACTAGGTCATGGAACTAAAGGAGTGTTTGAGCTTCTGTCCGGATGGCGCAGAACAAGAGAGAATTTACCCTTCAAAGACAGGGTTGCAGATGCCTATTCTGATGTGATGGTCACCTATACCATGACCAGCTCCTTGTACTTCATTACCTTTGGCATGGGTGCCAGCCCATTCACAAACATAGAGGCTGTGAAGGTCTTCTGTCAGAACATGTGTGTCTCCATTCTGTTGAACTACTTCTACATTTTCTCATTCTTTGGCTCCTGTCTGGTCTTCGCGGGCCAACTGGAGCAAAACCGCTACCACAGCATCTTTTGCTGTAAGATCCCCTCCGCGGAGTACCTGGACCGCAAACCTGTGTGGTTCCAGACGGTGATGAGTGACGGGCATCAACAGACATCCCATCATGAGACGAACCCCTACCAGCACCATTTTATTCAGCACTTCCTACGCGAACACTACAACGAATGGATTACCAATATCTACGTGAAGCCGTTTGTCGTCATCCTCTATCTCATTTACGCCTCCTTCTCCTTCATGGGGTGCTTGCAGATCAGCGACAGGGCCAACATCATCAATCTACTAGCCAGTGATTCTCCGAGTGTTTCCTATGCCATGGTTCAGCAGAAATATTTCAGCAACTACAGCCCGGTGATAGGATTCTACATCTACGAGCCGCTGGAGTACTGGAACAGCAGCGTCCAGGAGGATCTGAGGAGGCTCTGTAGTGGGTTCACTGCAGTGTCCTGGGTGGAGCAGTATTACCAGTTCCTGAAAGTTAGCAACATCAGTGCCAGTAACAAGAGTGACTTTATCAGTGTCCTACAAAGTTCATTTTTAAAAAAGCCAGAATTCCAGCATTTTCGAAACGATATCATCTTCTCCAAAGCAGGGGATGAAAACAATATTATCGCTTCTCGCTTGTATCTGGTGGCCAGGACTAGCAGAGACAAGCAGAAGGAAGTCATAGAAGTGTTGGAAAAATTGAGGCCCCTGTCCCTGTCAAAGAGCATCCGATTCATCGTGTTCAACCCCTCCTTTGTGTTCACGGATCATTATGGCTTGTCTGTCACGGTGCCTGTTCTGATTGCAGGCTTTGGTGTCCTCCTGGTGTTAATCCTGACTTTTTTCCTAGTGATCCACCCTCTGGGAAACTTCTGGCTAATTCTTAGTGTCACCTCAATTGAGCTGGGCGTTCTGGGCTTAATGACACTATGGAACGTCGACATGGATTGCATTTCTATCTTGTGCCTTATCTACACTTTAAATTTTGCCATTGACCACTGTGCACCACTGCTTTACACATTTGTACTAGCAACTGAGCACACCCGAACACAATGTATAAAAAGCTCCCTACAAGAGCATGGGACAGCCATTTTGCAAAATGTTACTTCTTTTCTTATTGGGTTGGTCCCCCTCCTATTTGTGCCTTCAAACCTGACCTTCACACTGTTCAAATGCTTGCTGCTCACTGGGGGTTGCACACTTCTGCACTGTTTTGTTATCTTACCCGTGTTCCTAACCTTTTTCCCCCCTTCCAAAAAGCACCACAAGAAAAAGAAACGCGCCAAACGGAAGGAGAGAGAGGAAATTGAATGCATAGAGATTCAAGAGAACCCTGATCATGTCACTACAGTCTGAAGGGTGTAGACAAATGGATTATTTTTCTTTTCCAGTATTGCACAATGATGCAGGGAGAGTAAAGCTCACTCCTCAGCTGCTTGGGCTGGCCAGGGGTAACAAGGAAAGTCAGATCAAGAGTGAATTGTTCATGACACATCAAGGTGTCCACTTCCTGGGGGGAAGAGAGAATCAAAGACGAGGGAAATGTTCTTTACAACCTTGTTCTCCACTAAAGATAAGTTTGGGGATGTGATCTTAGAGCTCTTCCAAGGAATGGACGAATGAATGAAGCGTTGGAAGGCCAAAAGATCTCACTGCTTTTAAAAATAAAATGCTTAAGAAAGATGGAGAGGAGTAGAAAGGGGGCCTCTAAATAGGGGAAAACACAGTAAATGTCAAAATTGCGATGGCGTTTTTCTTATTTGTGTTTTGAACAGGTTGGTCAAAGGAAACCTATGCACTTGGGAAGTACATATTTAATCCCGTCTAAACCAAAGGACTTCCCAATCCATTTTACGTGTACATATATATGTATATATACCATATATACATATACTTAGATTTGTCTTTAGTGAACATTGATGTTTGTGTAGAAGAAGCTGTCCATTTGCAGATGGGCTGGACTTACTCTAGAAAGTCAAACCTGCCTTAGCCAAATATAGATGCATTGATGGCAACTCAAAACAACTCAAGTGTTTCAACAGAAAGAGTATTACACAACTGTGTGATAAGCGAAATAAACAGAGACATGAGTCCATTAGATTCTACATATCATGTCAATCTTGGAGATTCTTGCTTTGGATGACTTCAGAAAAAAACAAAATCAAAAATAATAAAAAAAAACATACACACACAAAAGGCATTTAAACCAATTACCACATGGACAAGGGTTAAAATTTCATGTTGGAGCTAAATAGTTGATAAGGCTTTTCATTGAGGTCTAATGGTTCGCTATACTCGGGAAGGCTGGTTTGGCTGCTTTCAGAGAGCTTACCCACTGCAAATGAACATTTTACACATACTGTCCATACATGTATGTATAGGGTACACGTGTGTGTGCGTGTCTGTGTGTGTGTGTGTGAGACCGTTGAGGTATACCATAGGTACAGTGTTCTCATTTTAGATGACAAATATATACTGCCATGGAATATAGATAATTAACATAGGAAAAAGGAGATCTAACTAAGAAATGTCGTAGAACGAAACAGAGTAAATGGATCATCACCACTCATCATGCGCCATCAACTGGTTCTTAGTGTAAGGAAAATATTCTAATCCTATAAAGTCTAGTGTGCTCCTTGCATTAATATTTGGAACATTGACCCAGGCCACGATCACTATAGTAGTGGTCACTATAACTACCGTAATATCGTTTTGTAGCTTCTTGCGATATCATTGTTCTTGTTCCCTGGAAAGTGCTCCTCAGCTGGCCCACCCCCTGGGGTGTTCGTAGCTCTCCACGGGTCATGTTAACTGTAACTGCTGCTGAATTCTCTCTCAGAACAAGTACCGAGGTAAATGTTTTCATTGAGTTAACGTTTAAAACTGCTCCCCAGCAGATACACTTAGTCTGTTGGGTGCTTACTTGGATTAATGCTGTGCTTCCTGTCACAGAAAACTCCTAGAAAATGCCTTTTCCCATGCCAACCAGTAAAATAAATTAATTTTCAGGTAGGACTGAACAAATGTCCAGTGATGATAAAAACATTTAGTAAGCTCTTTTACCTGGAAGAGAGCTACTGTTTCCCACCAACTTCAGTTGTATATTTTAATTGAATTTCACATATTAAAATCTGGAAACAAAAAGGAAAAAAAAAGAAAAGAGGAAAAAAAAACCTCTTGGACTCAGTTAAGTTCAGTAAAGAGATACAAACCATTCCATTCTGGTTGCAGTCTGGAAAGAAGTTGATAGATTAATGAAGTAACAAAACAGTAAAACAAGTATACTTTTCCAGATAAGGAGTTTACCAGGATATTAAGGGAAAGAAGAACTGTCTCTAAAATGAAAACCATTTAACGAAATTTTATTTTATTATGTGAAGTTTGTTTTGTCCTACCTTGAGGTTACTGAGTTTCTTTCTATTAGAAATGATTCGTGTCTTCTCACTTGTGTTCATGTGGGCACAATAGCAGTAGATCAAGTATGCAAAGTAATTGACATAAACATACACAGCTATTGTTCTCCTATTCTTTGTGAAATTCATGTCACAGATAACCCTAGCCTTTTGCCTCCTGAACAGCTCTGCTGGGATGAACTGGTATTTGATACTAGTAGACCTGCAGACCATGATCTCATATCTGAAGTAGAAGTCTCTGAAGAGTTAGGCTTTGAGGGAAAGGAGGGAGATTCTTCTGCCATAGTTTACTCACCCTTTGTGAATATTTGTTTTACATCCCTTTCAAAAGATGGGAAATAATCAACGGAGACATCCCATTAACTATTACTCCATTGTTTGCCCAAGGTGTACCATTCTCCATTCATTTACCAATTTTTAAAAAGCTTGCCTATTTGGGTCATTTTTTTTTCTTGATTACCTTAGACAATTCCATATTCCATATATGAAGAAGATTGGCAGTCTGATTTCTAAAGAACGAAAGAAGCATGCCAGTTGCCAAATGCATGTGAGGACAGTTTGGCATCTATTGCCAAACCACCAGGACAATTCCAGTCCTGGATAGTCTCTATGTGGATGGTCTAGATAGTCTAGATAGTCTCTATGTGGATGGAGGAAAACAGTTCTTTTTTAGGTCATGTCTTCAAGTAAAATAAATGTGAATTCTTCATTGCTCAACTGACAAGAGGGGTTGGATTTTGGAAGGGTCGTTATCTTTTCCAGGATACCATAGTATTCATTAATGAACTGTAGCAATAATTTACTGAAATGGAATTTCTTGTTCTGGAAGAGTTAATATACCATCCAAAATGCCCTAGCTCAGTCCTAGGAAGTAATTTAAGCCCATAAAGAATCTAACTGAGCATCATCTGACCTCCCAACCTCACTGTGCAACAGATATTTTCAAATATTCCGATTACTCAATTCCAAGATACATCCTAACATATGAGATCATGATTTGTAGGTAATGCCCAACCTCTGCCTTTTTCAATAGCTTATGTCTAACTCTCAAGTTTTTCTAGTTTACTCCCACTGTTTTTGTCCATTTGTGAAATACTCATGGCGTTCAAATTGGGAACCCATCTACTGCTAAAAGATGACTGATCAACCCTGGAAGAAAAGAACCCGTGGGAAATATGTCATATATGTAGAATATTGTACTTTGCTGAAATGTGGTTTTCTCTTAAAACAAGAGATTTTAAAGTTTGTAGAAAGAAGAAAGAAAGAAAGAAAGAAAGAAAGAAAGAAAGAAAGAAAGGAAAGAAGGAAAGAACACACCTTTTCTGAATTTAAACTGCAATGTGGATTTATTTTCTTCCAACAGATTATAAATTTGAATCAGAAAGTCCTGTAAGAACTCCACTCCCCATGATGGTTAATAAGCTCCAAAGAGGTACTCACCTAAATTGCAGAAAGAGACTTGGTTAACCTAGACCATGCATAATATTTTAAGTGAAAGGTGTGCTTAAATGTCACCCCATGAATTCTTCCAGGGATCGGGAACCTCTCTGACAGGTGTGCATGAATATTCCATGAAAGAATTATTCTTCCCTATGGTTGTATCATGTGAATGTTTCTTTCCCATTTGGTTCCTATTTATTTCCAGAGAATTTGGGTTTTACCTTGTGAGTTTAGAAGAATTATGACAAATGAAGCTCCTACGAAGCTATAATAACCATTCTTGAATGTTGAATTCGAGAGGGTGAGAGCTTTGTCCATTTTGTAATTACCCATGCACTTTCCCATAATAATCTTCCAATCCTTCTAGGCTTGTGGTTAGAGCTAGGGATTAACTATTGCCATCAGAATTACATGTATTTTTATAAGTTGACTGTAAATACCATAATTACAGTCACATATTTTTATAACCAAATAGTTATGAATGCCTGGCACTATGCATGCATTGTTACTAATAGTACATAGATTTTTACAAACACTATTTTCATGGTTATTGCAACTTTTATTAAAATTCTCATATCAGCTATTCATAAATGCCTTGTAGGTTTTGGTCCCAACGGCCTAAAGTCCACAGAAAGTTTCATCCCAAGGGGGACAATTTAAAAATTGCCTTCCCTGGGTGTTGATAGCAGCAACCTCTTCTAGAATGTCCTCTGAAAAATCCTAGAGGCTAAATCTGGCTTCCAAGTAAACAACATAGCAGATTCTGTGTTAGTCAGTAATTATTCCAAGTTTAATTTCTTAAGTTTGCTGATCTCACGGTGAACTAGAGAGTACAATACCTTGCGACTGAAATTTAGATCTGTCTCCTGTGAATTGGAGAACTCAATGATTGGCTCAACCTCTTTTTAGAGAGATCTCTCTGTTCTGTTGGTGTTTGCAAAGGTATTGATAATCTTTTCAAATGTGAGCCTGAAAACTGTCATTTTTTTTCAAAGTAATTTAGAAGCACTTTTATTCCCTTTAAAAACAAAACAAAGAAACAAAAAATATGTCTTGCTCCTTCTGTGTTACAAAACAATTTTGTGACAAATTTTATGACATCGACTCCAAACCTATCTATAGCTGAATTTGTATGCCCTTGGAATCTTCCCATCTTGAATCTAAAATAAAACTCAGCATCATCACTGTGGTGCAGGCATTTATACCAACCCTTTTAAGCCATGATCTGTCAATACATTGTACAGGAGAAATGAGCTAGATTTTTTTTTTAATGATTTGCCTTCAAGATCATGACTGCAAATATATTTAGTCAAATGAAGGCAGCAAAATCATAATGACAACAACAAAGATTCTTCGCATCAGGTCCAGCATGGGAGGAACTATATGTAGGCTTAACCGCGGCAAATTGTTTTGAATTGTAAACTAAATGGCCAAGGTTTGCCCCACCATGATGTTTTAGTTAGAAAGGAAAGAGGTGGTGTTCTGTGCTTAATGTTTTGTGCA